ATGTAGGCAATATCGGTGCTCCAAATGCAATGCAGCATGTGAGGTATATGTGGATACAAATATAAAGAAGAAAACGCTAATGGTGAAGTAAGTACTGTATATATGCAAAGAAGATAAGGTATTGTACTTACATTTGCTAGAGCAAGACTTGCTCTAGTTAAAACAGCATGGGTGGTATAATCCCCACCTAAGGATATGTTGGTACCAGGGAGCAAGAAGGAAAAATAAAATAAAAAGAAAATGGCTATAAAAAGCAAGTTTTTATTTTAAAAAATTAATAATAATAGTAAAAAGTATTATAATGGATGAAGAAATCTCACTTGACGCGTTTCGCCTGTCCAAGGCTTTTTCAAAAGGTGTGAGATAGTCCTTACAATGCTTAGTTTATATATGGAAGTCTTTATTGTGAATTGTCTGCCTGGTGTGTCCAATTTCCGGTTTCGTTGGAACGCACGAGTCGTACTGGAAGTGACGCAACATTAATATTGTAATGATGATGTTGGAGAGCTGTTTCTCGGGCTCCTGTTTCCCCCTTTTGGAACGCACACATCACACCGGAAGTGACGCGGTGGAGTTCCATTTCTGGGTGTTATCCTTTGACTACTATCACGTCTAATTGGAACGCACGTATTGCCATGATGGACGCGGTATATGCCATTTTCATTCTACTATTTGTTCATTCACGAGGTTTGGGAATCCTTGTATTGTGTACTGCAGCCCACACAAATAGACCTATTAAATTATAGTGAGTGCCTAATATTTTTTGCTTTTACACTCTATAACATATCTTACACACCCCATATATATACCTTGCACACCAAATACAGATACCTAGCACACCCCATACACATACCTTACACACCCCATATGAATACTTTACACACCATATACACATACCTTACAAACCTCATATACATGCCACACATACCTTGTGTAACAGCTACCCAAGGGGGTATCAGCCGTTGGAGACGTCCTTTTCCTGGCAAGCTGCTGTGTAGTAATGGAGTTTCTTATTCCCATCCACGAGATCCAAGAGTAAAGCCAGGTATAGCTGTAAAATAGAGCAAGATAATTGTGCAGTAAATCCCCTTCCAAGAACGAGACGAGGCTACGTTTTGAAGGGTCAAGCAGAACTAACTTTTATTGACAGGGATTCTCCTTTTATGCAATTCTGCCCTTGGGAGGGCGACACCCACATAATTAGCACAACACCCAATCACAGATAAACAGTTAACATAATTAACACACACACATTTTTACCCAAGTTTTGGATGTACCCCAAATATCCCTCATCTAGGGGAACAACATATTAAAAAATCATCCCATTCGGTGAAAGCGTTCGGGAGTTATGGGACTTTAAAGTTTTGACCGACCGCATAGGCACACTAGCCGAAAATAGTTCCATAAGTTTTGGCCTTGCGGTCAGTCCTCGTTCGTGCGATGAAAAGGCCCGAAAATCCTGCCATCCGTATGTATCTTGTTGATCGCTGGAATCCACGCACGTAATATATCCTTTCTACCGAACGGCCGAGCGTTCGGTAGTTTCAGCACAAATTTAAGATGTTATGGAGGTCTCAGCGTTGTTTGCCTACTCGAGAGTTAGATTTTAGTTCCAGACACTCGACAGCAAATCACCGCTGTTCGTGCATTAAGATGGCCGCGAACACGTGCAAAGTCCTGCAATGGTGGCCACCTAAGATCTAACACAAAGGATTCGTGCCTTTATCATGTGAACGGTATATGCCGGTCTGGGAGGTAAAATACCACTTAATTGAACAGCAGGGTGGTCCGGTGTTCGGTAGTTTGTATTCGTCTTTGTGCCTGCTGGGTCTCTACCGCATGGATTGCACAAATAGACGAATACTGGCAACATAAGTCCAAAACTGTGCTATAATAATCCACATAACCAGGTAAGTATATTCCCTTGTATTATAAGGCTTAGTTATTGTCAAATATGTCCAGGCAGAAAGTACAGTTCTGTTACACCTTGCATGCACCATACACATACATTACACACCCAATACACATACCTTTCCCACCCTATACTCGACTGCGATAATCACAATTTTAAAGGCAAGTATATTGGAGTACTTATTACAAAAACCATTATAGATGTCATACACTTCACTAAGTTCAAAACAGACTCCATGAGATATTAAAAGATAATGGTGTACAGAATGTACTGTGATCCTTGTTTGCAGGCAGCACGGTCCTCTAGGGCAAAAACATGCACAGTCCTTGTAGTTGCAAATACTCCAGGCACTTTATTTGTAAGTTCACACAGGATACAGCAGTTAAATGAAAACATAAATGTAACAGAAAACCCTATAAACAAAAACCTAGCTCGTCTGAGCACTAACTGACATAAGTTTCCCTATCTCTCAGGGTTAAACTAAACAATATTGCACCAACCTTTTAGATAGCAACACTCTGCTAGCTAGCCTGTTGCTTTCCTTTCTGCACTCCCAGTGCTCCAAGCCTTGCCCTGACTGCTTTCCTTTCTGCACTCCCAGTGCTCCAAGCCAGCCTTGCCCTGACTGCTTTCCTTTCCGCACTCCCAGTGCCTCCAAGCCAGCCCTGACTGCTTTCCTTTCTGCACTCCCAGTGCTCCAAGCCAGCCTTGCCCTGACTGCTTTCCTTTCCGCACTCCCAGTGCCTCCAAGCCAGCCTTGACTGCTTCCTTCTGCACTCCCAGTGCTCCAAGCCAGCCTTGACTGCTTCCTTTCTGCACTCCCAGTGCCTAGTCTCTTTGACTCTATCTGGAGAGATCAGCCTCTCTCCTACCTGCTTCCTGGGAGGAAGCCAGCAATCCCTCTCCTTTTCCTGCCTAGCCGGGAGGGGTTTATTACCACTGCAACAGCTTATTAACTGCACCTGAGCAGTGGGTTGGAGACGGTCCAAAAAACCCTGGCCTGGATCTATGTCTCCCCAGAAAACCACTAAACTGTGGAGTGGAGCATTGGCCCACCCTTCTCTCCAAATGCTCCACCCCAGGGGCCCATAACTAAACAATGCGTTGTGTTGTGCAAAACACAAACTACACATACTCCCCCTGGGGTTAAATGTTATAGGCCTATCTGCCTTCACTTTATCACAGTACATTAAATAATTTATGAATCAAGGACAATATTAACATATATCAATTGTAGAACATCTAATAATTGCAAAAAAATCTTATGAAAGTATCTTATTCAGAGTTGTCATCAGAAATTTTGGGGCCCTTGACACAGCTTAAGGTCTTGGCCCCAGTGTACAAGTAGCAGGGGGCACACAGGTATATATATGTGTGCGAATAAGGAATGTGGGACCTGGGACTTCCAGAGCAGCCCAGGCCCGCCAGGACCGCCATGCCGATAACAACCTTCATGGCCATCAACATAGCATTTTCAAAATCTTGTCCTAAAATTATCAGGGATCTAAACACTATAAAAATAGTGGATTAAATAATTACCATCTTAATAAAAGAGTTGTATGAATTAAATAAATAATTCCAGCCAAAATTGATACCATAACTGCATCTAACACATACAATGGGCCATGGATTTGAATAGAAGAAAGGCCAAGTTGATGGAAACATTTCCATAAAGTCCAAAAATACAAACTAAATTGATATTAGATCACTTTAAGGATACATGTATGCAAATAAAAATTAGATATATGGTTTAAAATGGGATATTCTGATAAGCATTATTGCAGTGTTTTTATATTACACAATAAAAGGGGCATGCATCATATGTAAATATCCAAATATTGGGGAAAAACATGATAAGCCGAGAAGGCAGTAATTTTATAGGATTTCAAGGTATTTTGTGAGCAAAGGGTTATTCAAGGATATTGGCAGACCTCGATGGGTTGTACGAGCTAAGTAAATATGATATGTAGTTTGGAGTATAGTTGAGGATAGTCAGTTTCCATTTGCACGCTAAAAACATAGGACGTCCCTGTAAGTATTAAAAAAGAGAAGAACTGCGACAAGTGTGGTAAGCCTGGTAACACCTTTTATTTCGGGATGTGAGGGGATACATTTGAGAGAGATGAAAGTTGACTTTCAGAGATTAAGGATCCTTGGTCTTTTGGCATGCCGGGGAGGATAGTATGAGGTGAACACAAAAAAGATACCAGGAACAAAACCTTATGAACCTTATCAAGATTTTTTTTGAGGGCAAAATATCTCTTGCATGAAAGTTGTTCCTTTTGCATGTGGAGAACAACATTATAACAAATAAGATTTGTGAGTGGGAGACGTTATGAGTTGATGATACTAAAGAGGCTCTCCGTGATTTGAGATAAGTAGTGACAAGAAAATTTTAATAGTTTAGACCAATAAAGCCTGATAACATGTTCAGTGTAGCTGCCACTGCATTCAAACTTCCTAACAAGCTTTAGGTAGGAGTCACACATGTTGTCAAGATAACTCCAAGTTTATCACCAGGTTTATGTGATGAAGAGGTTGTGATTTTAGTTGTGAGGGTTGCAAAGAAAATGAGGAATGGGGACCTTTCAGTGCTGATGTTGGGTTTACCAAGTGTTTTTACCCAAAATAACCTCAAAATTAATAATCAGAGTATTTTAGAATTTAGGATTTGTCCCCATACATTTCTGAGCCTGTGATGTAAAGATCACAATTTAATAGCAAAATAGGCATATTGTTAAATGAAGGCTTTATTTTATAAGCTCGTCGAGCAGGGTCCTCGTCAACCTAATGTTCCTGTAACATTTTGTACTTGTCTCATTTATTGTTAAATTTACCCCCTTTATAATATGTTGGTGCAATATAAATGCTAAATAAAATAATAATAATACTAATAATAATAATACCGAATTTTTGCAGTATTGACCATTTTCACATCAACTATTGAATTTGTCACTTTGTTGGTAAAATTGTAAAATCCAGGTACGCCCTACACACAATGAACATAGGTAATGGTGGAATAATTTGCTCGCAGCACGATAGCAGGGTTATAAATATCAGGTATCGTATTTAGGTATTTCCATTGAACATGGATATTACATTTCTGGGATCTTTGCTCCTCACCCTGCTGGTCTCCTGTCTCCTGATTTACTCAACATGGAATAAAATGTATCAAAAAAGGAACTTACCCCCTGGTCCAACACCGCTACCTCTGCTGGGAAATATTCTTCAAATCAAGAGGGGAGAGATGGTGAAATCATTGTTAGAGGTTAGTGTTCAAATGTATAGAATCTTAACAAAACAAAAAACTACATATAGAAAACCAATAAATTCAAATAATTATTTACCAGTAACCTGTTCTTAAATGGAATGTGATTTCGTATTAATGAGTTGTTCATGTTGAAGGACTTAATATGCAGATCCCTAATGCTATCATGTAGTAGTATTTGTGTTTCATACACACACACACGGCACTCACACACACACTGCACTCATACACACACACACACTGTATTCATACACACACACACTGCATTCATACAAACACACTGCATTATATACACACACGCTGCATTCATACACATACACTGCATTCATACACACACACACTGCATTCATAGACACACTGCATTCATACACACACACACTGCATTCATACACACACACACACACGGCACTCACACACACACTGCACTCATACACACACACACTGCATTCATACACACACACACACTGTATTCATACACACACTGCATTCATACAAACACACTGCATTACACACACACACACACACACACTGCATTCATTATATACACACACTGTAAATAAATATTCAATTAATATAATTTGGGGGGATCTAATTGAATATAGAAATTTACCAGTAGCTTCTGCATTTCCCACCCTAGTCTTATACTCGAGTCAATATGTTTTCCCAGTTTTTGGGGGTAAAATTAGGGGCCTCGACTTATATTCGGGTCGACGTATACTCAAGTAAATATGGTATCAAAAAATGAGCATCGAAAAAATGTTAGCACAAGTTATAGATGTTTTTTCTATGTTTAATTCATTGATAAGAACTGATGGTTACCCTTAAACTTTTGTATAAATCAGGAAAGATATCATGACTGAACGATATCATGTCATAGATTTTTTTTCCCATTGGTATGTTTTTGTTTTCTATCTCCACTGGATTTTTTAAATCCAAGTGCTAATGCATAACTTCAAAATAAGCATACAGTGCAGTGTTGCAACCACATAACAGATGAAAATGGAGAAATGTATCTCTAAGCCTCCTACATTCAGAATGCATGAAATACAGGGGAGAGTAGGGGGACAGAAAACAATTTTTTTTAAAAACATTTTTAAAAGGTACGCGTTTCACATCTCTCTCCCAAACTTGATGTATGTGGCAGTGGCTAGCCACAACAGTGACTTAACTGACCACCTCACCCGTCTCGAACTAGGATGAATTTCTCATGGGCATTCCATTGCTTTACGTGTTTCCTGTAGATGTATTTTCATGTTTTATTATAAGGTTAGTCACCTAGTCATCTTCAACATGCAAGGTTGGTGGTTTTCTCTTTGACACGTCTTGCATCCATGTAAATGCAGACAGCGTTCCATGTATAATATGCGTACCAGAAGCTCACTATTTCTTTTAGAAAATACAATTAAATACATTGTGCGTCTCTTGTTGTGACTGTGACACATTGATTAGTGTTACAACATGTTTTTATTTCATTTCTTGAGATTTTTACTAATATGTTTACTTATCCCTATATTTAACAAATATGTGTTTGTAATATCAGAAAATAAAATTAATTGTATCATCCACACTGGTAACCTTAGCTCTACCCTGGAATAACGTGATTCCATATCTATCAGGTTCTGTGATAAACTCTGACCTTTGCAGTTGGCAGTCAGTACAGAGAGACAAAAGGCGAGACAATGTTACAGTCTCTCTTCCTCTAATGAACTGTGTGCCAGGCTGTGCCAGGACTCACCCGGATTGTGACATCAATTGCTAAATATCTGGTACATTCCAAAAATTGTTTTTTGCCAAAAACAATAATACAAGTCATGGGCCATTTTCATGGTTTTATTCTGTTGTGTAATATCTACAAATGACCAGGGAGGTTTCAACATACTTGTTTCTCTTCTATAAGTGTACTTTTCTTGTTAATAATATGAATCGAGCGTTTTATTATTTATTTCTTTTTTAATTTTATCCTATACGTTTCTGTCTTTTTCTTTTATTGCTTCAGTTTGGAAAAAAATATGGTCCGGTTTACACCATTTACTTTGGTCCAAGGCGTGTAGTGGTGCTATGTGGGTACCAGGCAGTTAAAGAAGCACTAATTGACCAAGCAGATGAGTTTAGTAATCGAGGAAATCAATCAAACATAGATAGCTTTTTCCAAGGATTTGGTAAGTTTTTACCCTGTTTGGTTTCAATTTAATTAACTTAATACAGTGGCCATCCATCAATTTATCCAACAATGAATCCATCCATTAATCTCTCCCATAGACAGTGCAAGTCTTGCTTCCACGTACTTCTTACATACATGTTCCACTTGCCTCTTATTAAGGCATATCATTGTCAAAGTACTAACACACTCAAGGCAAGGATTGTTGGACCGTTATCCCAATCATACAGTATATGTATGGTCTTCATACATTATCATTTCCTTTACCTGATCCAGGTGTGTTTAGAAAGGGTTTTAATTTCCCACCTATTCAGGTAGACATTGAGTGTATAATTGAACTATTATCTATATTCTTGTATAGACCGATATACGTTATTTGCTGGGTTATTATCACGGTAATGTTAGCTGCTATTTATGTTTTTGAGTTCTTCGCACTGTAATCCAGGTATCAGACGTTTCCATTTCTAAGACAGGGCAGTGTTCCTGGTATAGGTAATCCAGCCATACCTGAGATCAAGTTTACTGAGTAATAATTATCAGTTTTGACATTGTTGTGCCATTATTGTGTCTGGACTCATGGTACCATTTTATTTCCATCTGATTCCATATTCACAATATGATATTTTATTTTCACTTCGTTCTTCAATTATCATTTTAGCTTCCTTTGTGTTTTTGGACCTAAGTAGCCTTAAACAATTCTATGAATTCACATGTTTTTGTTGTACTTTGACATAGATTAAACCTTACCATGATGCGTATTATTGATCTAAGACATACAAACATTTACCATTATATATGTCACTGTTCTAAGACATGTGTCTGGGAAAATTGCTCCCCTTGCCACTAGGATAGAGTGGAATGTGGGGTAACAGCACAATACTAAACTAATACATGTAACTACATTATTTTAATATTATTGTATACTAATTCTTGTGGCATTAGTACAAAACATGTATTATAAAATTAACAAAGGGAGTGGAAGACCATTGATCATCATTCATATCAAAGTTATAAGATATATAACCATTTACCACTGCACATATATAGATTCTGAGACGCATGACTGTTTAGCGCCATACGTGTAATGGCTCTAACTCTCATAGCTCACAGCCATGTAGTTTGAGGGTGTAACAGCTGTTGACATTGTGGTACCAACATCCTCATACGGTGGATGACTGTGTCTTACAGGGGTTGTTTTCAGTAATGGTGAAAGATGGAAGCAGCTACGACGCTTTTCCCTCACGACTCTGAGAAATTTCGGGATGGGTAAACGATCCATTGAAGAGAGGATTCTGGAGGAGGCTCAGTGTCTTGTGGCTGAACTCAGGTCATACAAAGGTAGGTATGCAGGGATAGAAAAGAGTGTGCGTGTATCTGTGTGTGTTATACTGAGATGAAAAACAATACATTTCATTTTTTCATATCTCCTTTAACTGGTTTCTAATGTGTTATTCTACACCCTGATCTATCTTTTACTTTTTGGATCTACAGGGAAGTCCTTTGACCCGACCACCATCCTCATACAGTGCGTTTCCAACGTAATCTCCTCCATTATGTTTGGAAGTCGCTTTGAATATAATAACAAAAAATTGCAGACACTCCTCAGCCTGTTTGCTGCTACCTTCAACGACATGAGCAGCAAGTGGGGACAGGTAGAGGATAAGATAATATTCTAATCAGCACCGTGTCTGTCTCTTAGCACTAAAATAATTACTGCAGTTTAGATGCATACACACAGGAAGGAACGTCGTAACACTTAACATCTTTGTATTTACTGATCTACAGTTATATGAGATGCTTCCCATGGTCATGAAGTACATTCCAGGCCCTCATCACAGGATAAACAAACACCTCAACAAGCTTCTTGAGTTTGTTTCAAAAAGAGTGAAAAATAATGAAGAAACTCTGGATCCCGACTCACCCAGAGACTACATAGACTGTTTCCTGATCAAAATGCAGCAGGTATTGACTCTGCTCAATAACTTTACTGAGCCCCAAGGTGGGGATAACAATTAGTTTAAATTAGATCTCTTGTAAGTTCACCCAAAATTAAATACATATTACTACTAAATCGCAAAGAAAAACTGTTTAATTTAAACATTGTCACCTGCTAACAAAGCTTTTATTGATACCGCTCTAAAAAATTACCACCCCCACTGCAGCTCCCCACACCTCCTATAACCCACACTACCTGAGCAGCACACTCACTGCAGCTCCCCACACCTCCTATAACCCACACTGTCTGAGCAGCACACTCACTGCAGCTCCCCACACCTCCTATAACACACACTACCTGAGCAGCACGCTCACTGCAGCTCCCCACACCTCCTATAACACACACTACCTGAGCAGCACGCTCACTGCAGCTCCCCACACTTCCTATAACTCACATTACCTGATCAGCACACTCACTGCAGCTCCCCACACCTCCTATAACCCACACTACCTGAGCAGCACGCTCACTGCAGCTCCCTACACCTCCTATAACACACACTACCTGAGCAGCACGCTCACTGCAGCTATCCACACCTCCTATAACCCTCACTACCTGAGCAGAATTCACCCTGCAGCTCCCCACACCTCCTATAACCCACACTACCTGAGCAGCACGCTCACTGCAGCTCCCCACACCTCCTATAACCCTCACTACCTGAGCAGAAAGCACCCTGCAGCTCCCCACACCTCCTGCCAGCCACACTGCACAGACATGCGGCTCACTGCGGCTCCACACCTCCCTATAACCCCACACTGCCACCAGGCAGCACGCTCACTGCGGCTCCCCTCCCATAAACCCACACTGCACCCACGGGCGAGCAGGCTCGCCGCGGCTCCCCACGCTCCCAACACACGCACTACCTGGGCAGCCTCACTGCGGCTCCCCACCTCCTATAGCCAGCGCACTGCCACCAGGGCAGCTTGTTCCTGGCTTCCTGCACCTCCTGTGGCCCACACTGCCTGGGCAGCAGGCTCACTGCAGCTCCCCACACCTCCTATAAGCCACACTACCTGAGCAGCACACTCACTGCAACTCCCCACACCTCCTATAACACACACTATCTGAGCAGCACACTCACTGCATCTCCCTACACCTCCTATAACACACACTACCTGAGCAGCAGGCTCACCACAGCTCTCCACACCTCCTATAACACACACTACCTGAGCAGCACATCACTGCAACTCCCCACACCTCCTATAACGCACACTACCCGAGCAGCACGCTCACTGCAGCTCCTCACACCTCCTATAACTCACACTACCTGAGCAGCACGCTCACTGCAGCTCCCCACACCTCCTACAACCCATACTACCTGAGCAACACGTTCACTGCAGCTCCCCACACCTCCTATAACACACACTACCTGAGCAGCACGCTCACTGTAGCTCCCCACACCTCCTGTAACACACACAACCTGAGCAACATGCTCACTGCAGTTCCCCACACCTCCTATAACACACACTACCTGAGCAATACACTCACTGCATCTCCCTACACTACCTGAGCAGCATGCTCCCTGCAGCTCCCCACACTTCCTATAACCCACACTACCTGAGCAGTACACTCACTGCAGCTCCCCACACTTCCCCACACCTCCTATAACACACACTACCTGAGCAGCACGCTCACTGCAGCTCCCCACACCTCCTATAACACACACTAAGTGAGCAACATGCTCACTGCAGCTCCCTACACCTCCTATAACCCACACTACCTGAGCAGCACACTCACTGCAGCTCCCCATACTTCCCCACACCACACTTCCCCACACCTCCTATAACACACATTACCTGAGGCAGCAGCTCACTGCAGCTCCCCACACCTCCTATAACACACACTACCTGAGCAACATGCTCACTGCAGCTCCCCACACCTCCTAAAACACACACTACCGGAGCAGCACGCTTACTGCAGCTTCCCACACCTCCTATAAACCACACTACCTGAACAGCACACTCACTGCAGCTCCCCATACCTCCTATAACTCACACTGCCTTAGCAACACACTCACTGCAGCTCCCCACACCTCCTATAACCCACACTACCTGAGCAACACACTCACTGCAGCTCCTGACACCTCCAATAACACACACTGCCTGAGCAGCACGCTCACTGCAGCTCCCCACACCTCCTATAACCCACACTACCTGAGCAGCACTCTCACTGCAGCTCCCCACACCTCCTATAACACACACTACCTGAGTAGCGGTACAAAGCTTAAGTTGTTATGCTAGGAAATCCTGGCCACTCTGGCTTTTTCCTTCCAACCAAGTTTCCAGTTTCTAAGAGGAAGCCAGGGGCTGTCTGAGAGGATGAGAACATTAGCTGACACTCTTAGCACTAACCTCTTATTGAGTAAACTGCATTAAAACATCACCTCTTCGTCTCAGTTAATTTTAGTTTTTGAGTTACTTTTTATCAAATATACCTTTTCTCTAATTGTAAATTGCTACAGAGTTTGTTGGCGCTATATAAATGCTAAGAATAATAAAAGGTGGTACTTTTCTCTCGCAGTTTTCTTAATGGGAAGCTAGTGATAGCCATAAAGTGTCAGCTGACGGTCTAACCAGTACACAGTTTGAGGCTTTGTTACTGAGGCCAAGGACTTCACTGGAAGAATTGGGGACAAAAATTTAATCTTTTTCTTGCGTTTGAGATTCCGTAAAAAAATCTGTCCATTTTGAAATCTGTAATGCATCGCTGATGTTCCCCGAGAAGATTTTAAAATTAGAGAAACACAAATTTATCTCTCATTATTAAAGCGGCACTGTCATGCCGAACTTACCTTTCCTCAATCTCTTTCTCTTCTCCCCCTCTCTCAGGATCTGTTCTTCTTTTCTTCCTGTCTTCTTTAGTTTAAAATCATAAGACAAAGTAGTGACTCTTTGCTTGACCATCTCTGACCAACGGAGGAGCAAAGTGTTCTTCATTTCCGCTGGTCAGAGCAATTTTCCCATGATCCTTACCTTTCCTCTGTGTTCCCACGATGCTTCCTGTCATTTTAGATGAAACTGTCGAATTGCGTTCTAACTGAATGAGAACAGTATGTTCGTTTCTTTTAGAACTCAGTTCGGCACTTTATTCGCGTCGGAATTTAATTCGAATGAATGAAACTCCAATCCTATTCGTGCTGTGGCTGCATCTTGCAGCCGCTTAGTAGATAACTCCCTAATTCCCACGGTATCAGGAAGTTATCTACTAAAAGGCTGAAAGACCTAAATTGGTCTTTCAGCCACATTTACTAATACTAAGTAAAAATTACTTAGTATTAGTAAATGCTGCCCCTACTCGCTATACCGCCACAGGCTGCTCACTGTAAAAATAAATAAAAACCTATCGGCCCTAAAGTAAAATAAGGGGGAAGACCTATTGTCCCCCCCCCGGCCCTCCCCCCGTGCGGTGGGTGTGGGTCATAATGATAATGAGGGGGGGGACCTACTGTCCTCCCCCCTGGCCCCCACCCCTTGGCGGCAGGAGGGGGCCCTAAGTCAAATTCCCCCCCCCCATTAAAGGTGACTAGGGGTCCCCAAGCACCTAGTCACCCACCCCCCCACCGAAATAAAAAATCCCCTTCCTACCCCCCTCACCCTAAAAAATAGTGAGGGGGGAATAAAATTACTAACCCCCTGGCCCCCACACCTGGGCGGCAGATGGGGGCCATAATGATAATGAGGGGGGGAACCTACTGTCCTCCCCCCTCCAGCCCCCACCCCTGGGCAGTGGGTGGGTGCCATAATGATAATGTGGGGGGGACCTACTGTCCTCCCCCCCAAGACCCCCAACCCTGGATCGCTGGTGGGGTGCAAATGATAATGGGGGGACCTACTGTCCTCCCTCCCCGACCCCCATCCCTGGGCAGCAGATGGGGGCCATAATTATAATGGGGGGAACTACTGTCCTCCCCACCCCTGGGCAGCGGGTGTGGGCCAAATGATAATGGGGGGTACCTACTGTCCTCCCCCTGCCCCCACCCCTGGGCGGTGGGTGGGGGCCATAAAGATAATGAGGGGGGATCTACTGTCCTCCCCCACCGGCCACCCACCCCTGGGCGGCGGGTGGGGGCACTAAGTCAAATTCCACCCCCCCATCAAAGGTGACTAGGGGTCCCCAAGCCCCTAGTCACCCACCGCCCCACCCAAATAAAAAGTCCCCTACCTACCCCCCTCACCCTAAAAAATAGTTAGGGGGGAATACAATTACTAACCTGTAAAGTAAAATTAAACTTACCATTCGACGTCTTCTTTTTTCTAAAATCTTCATTTTTCAGCCCCCAAAAAGGCCAAATAAAAAAACATCATATCCGTCGAACTTAAAATAAAATCCGGAGCGGGGGGTAGGAAGGGGATTTTTTATTTAGGTGGGGGGATGGGTGGGTGACTAGGGGCTTGGGGACACCTAGTCACCTTTAATGGGGGGGGGATTTGACTTAGGGCCCCCACTGCCGCCCAGGGGTGGGGGTTGGGGGGGAGGACAGTAGGTCCCCCCTCATTATCTTTATGGCCCAGACCCGCCGCCCAGAGGTCTCCCCCATTATCATTTGGCCCCCACCCGCCGCCCAAGGGTGGGTTGTCGGTGTGGGAGGACAGTAGGTCCCCACCCTCATTATCATTATGGCCTCCACCCGCTGCCCAGGGGTGGGGTGCTGGGGGAGGACAGTAGGTCCTCCTCCTCATTATCATCATGGCCCCCACCCGCCGCCCTTGGGTGGGGGTGTAGGTGGGAGGACAGTGGGTCCCCCCCTCTTTATCATCATGGCCCCCACCCGCCGCCCAGGGGTGGGGGCCGGGGGGAGGGAGGACAGTAGGTCCCCCCCTCTTTATCATCATGGCCCCCAGCTGCTGCCCAGGGGTGGGGGCTAGAGGGAAGGACAGTAGGTCCCCGTCCCCCCCATTGTAATTTATGGCCCCCACCCCCCGCTCAGCGGTAGAGAGTAGGGGGATTGGGGAGATTTTATTCTCCTTTATGCTATTATGGGGGTCATATTGACCCCCATATCGTGAGGGGGGGACCTGGGGTCCTTATGAAGTGGCGGGGAGCACTGCCCCCTGCCGCTTCTATCTTTACCTATTACAAAGAGGGAGCTGTGTGCCGGTAACTCCCTCCTTGTAATAAACTGCACTGCACTATTCAGTGTTTGTTTGTTCGTCTGACATTTCTATTCATTCATTCGTCTTTCTGATGAATGAATGAATGAATGAGTAGATGAAATTCCCGTTCGCATGTCCAGGTGTTTAACTGGGCATGTGCGGGAATTTCAAAGTCTATCTAGTGTGGGCAGATGACGTGTCCCACACCTTCCTCTACCCACACAAAGATGGCGGTGCCCTGAATAAAGATCGGGGAAGAAAATAAAGAATAATAAATAGGTAATATGGGGCATTTGGGGGTGACTAAGGGGTCAATTAGAGATAGTGGAGGCGGGAGGGGGGTTAAAAAAAAAACGGAATTTTGCATGACAGTTCCACTTTAAACACATTTTACCTAACTAACAAGGTTATCCACTAAGGTGACAATTCCAAATGAATTTACAATAGTAAAAAAAACTGGAACAACAATTGTGTAAATCAACTATTCAATTCTCACTTTATTAAATAACCCTGTATATATTCTATTCTCTAATTTATTTATTATCTCAAATCTGTTATTTTAGGAAAAACAAAATCCATTGACAGACTTCCACATGAAAAACCTGCTGATGACTGTTCTGAACCTTTTCTTTGGTGGGACTGAAACTGTGAGCACCACTCTACGGCACGGGTTCCTCATACTTCTAAAATATCCCGAGATAGAAGGTGCAAACCAAAATGAGCCTTCACTGGGAGATTTAATTCAAGGACATTAATACATCTAAGACGTTTCAGTGAAAAAAAAAACTCAAATGAGAATTACCAACTAGTGTTATCATTCGACAGTAGAGTATAAGTTCCACAATCACTCACAGGTTTGGAAATAAAACAACCTTTACTTGTTGCTTTACAGCCAAGTTGCATGAAGAAATAGACCATGTGATTGGACAGAACCGCAGCCCAACCATGGAGGATCGGAGCCAAATGCCGTATACCGATGCTGTGATCCATGAAATCCAGAGATTTAGTGATGTTTTCCCGATTAATGTTCCTCACTCGGTCACACAAGATACTAAGTTCAGAGGATACGATATACCCAAGGTATGGAGAGAAAAACACTCGACCGTCTATAGAATGTCAGATTATTACTTTCATCATAGATAATTGTATTTACACATTATACTACCTACTCAAAATTTCCACTCATCCTCTAACCATTGGGGAATTAATATTATTAAGTTCTAGAGAGTAGTATTTTACCCCTGCATTAATGTGCATTAGACCTCCAGAGTAAGAGTAGCAAGTAAACTTTTGGATCTGTCTGTAGAGCAGGACTTGACATTTTGAGATTTAAACTCTAGTAAACGTCTGTACTTATATAGTGAAGGTATTTACCCATCTCTGAATCCAGCCAAGTAAGACATTGTAACTGCACACACATTCCAGGCATGTTCGTTGGTATATTAGCTACCCCCTTGGCAAACACTGTGTTTACATAAAATTATTTGTGAATTGAACAAATTTCATCATGCCATCCCACCCTTAAAATATTTTAATATTTCAACTATTTGTGTTGGTATTTGCAAATTATAAATCAAAGTCAAACAGCAGCATCTGAGGAGATGCACTTAGAATTCTGCGTAAAGTCAATTCGCACACGCAAGAACATTTTAGTTTTGTATTTGTGTGAATATAACAGCACTGATAGAACTAATGAGAAGAAAACTCAAAACAAATGAGGGCAAATGATGGTTGCACCAACTCTAACAATTGTCCACAAAAATTTGATTGTGCATTAACTTATTCCCACCTCCTGGATATTAATGCAACGAGTAACTATTTATATATCTGCTCAAAATTCTAAATACACATAGGTGAAAGTTTATATTTAAAGATCAGTCTGGGCACCTGCCAATAATATCCTCAAGGCTGACTTAGTATTTTATTCATCTTATATGATTATATTTTTCCCACAGCATGTCCCTGTTCACAGTATTTATTATTTTTCTCCTCTCTTATCATCCATCCCACCCCAACAGGGCACTGACGTTTACCCATTACTTTGTACCGTTCTTCGAGACCCCAAACAGTTCGCCACTCCCAACAAGTTCAACCCGAACCACTTTCTGGATGAACGTGGGCACTTCAAGAAAACGAGGCTTCCATGCCATTCTCTACAGGTAACGGCCAAATAACGTAACTACATAATAATAAAATAAATAGTATAAAATAATAATACTTACATTATAAGAACATAAAAACATAAGACTTTAACTTTTATTATCAACTCCATATCCTTCCAAAAGGTTACACCAGCAATAACACAAAACATAATGTCAATATGTACATAGAATAATTAAATAACAAGATTAAACAAGACTTTGAATACACATGATATGCTAAGCTCTTCACTACAAACTAGAGTATTAAACTCAGAGAATTGTAATATGAAAAATTGATTTGAAAGCAAATATTATTGTCAACATTTTGTGCACTTTCTAAAGAAAAAAACATATACACCAGAAAGATAAATTATATTGTCAATTGTGTGATAGAATAACAAGCAAGATTTTAAAAATAATGCTTTGATTTTCACGACCTTAATATTAGTTTAAAGGACCACTATAGTGCCAGGAAAACATACTCGTTTTCCTGCCACTACAGTGCCCTGAGGGTGCCCCCACCCTCAGGGAACCCCTCCCGTCTGGCTCTGGGGAGAGGAAAGGGTTAAAATTTGCCTTTTTTTTTTCCAGCGCTGGGTGGGGATCTCTCTTCCTCCTCTCCGCCTCCGATCCTCCTCTTTGGCTGAATGCGCATGCGCGGCATGAGCTGTGCGCGCATTCAGCCAGTCTCATAGGAAAGCATTTCCAATGCTTTCCTATGGACGCTTGCGTCTTCTCACTGTGATTTTCACAGTGAGAAGCACGCAAACGCCTCTAGTGGCTGTCAATGAGACAGCCACTAGAGGATTTGGAGGCTAGATTAACCCATTTATAAACATAGCAGTTTCCCTGAAACTGCTATGTTTATATAAAAAAGGGGTTAATCCTAGAGGGACCTGGCACCCAGACCACTTCATTAAGCTGAAGTGGTCTGGGTGCCTAGAGTGGTCCTTTAAGAATACTAGGGAATGGTGCCTATCCCTTCCTCAATCCATTGGTCCAAACTCCATAATAAGACAACTAGGCGATGCACAATACCAGTCCTCATGAGGCCAGAGAGAAATCCCCATCCTTCTGTTAATGATACTGAAGGAAACTCAGTTTACCCCCCCTTACCAAAAAGAGGACACACAGATACTCAATACACTTAATTCCTATGAGTTTCGAGGTACTATTCCACCAAAACCCCCAACATTTAAATTACTCACTTCGCTCACCTCACCAGTAATAAAGATTAGGGAGGAATGGGGGGGGGGGAGGGTGGCGCAATATAAAACAAGAACACTGTAGCTAGAATATATGTCATACTTATCTATCAAAGTCTGGCTTAAAGATCTTCTATTTTCTTTTACTATACAAAAAGAATATTGTAACCTAAAGCAACTCTAATGAAAACAAAATATAAACCAATTGCAAAAAAAAAGGAATTGGGAAAATGTAAAAATGTATTCAAATTCTTGAGGGTTCAAACTTTATATAGTCATAAAACCTGACTTAATAAGATTTTATAAGGAATTCTAATGACCACATTGCCCTCTATATTCCAAATGAGAGTGGGAGGGAGGAGGGGGAGGGAAACATTGCTGGTATTTTATCTACTTCTTCTATGGGACCACAAGTTTTAAAAATATTTTTTTTTTGGGTGGTTTTTTTCTAATTTGATTATTGTTATTGTTTTTGTAATTTTAGAACCACAGTGCATTGCTCTAGTCAATGAGTAGCACTGACAGGGTTAAATGAAACATCGCTAAATAAAAAATAGCTAAAATTAAAAATGGTTCATTGGAAGATAGACAGACAGAACAGAAACAGACAGACATTTTTTCTTCTGTGTTCAGATTATTAAATGCCCATTATTGTATTATTTTCTTTCTCCAGGGAAGCGGATCTGCCTGGGGGAGGGTTTAGCACGGATGGAGCTCTTCCTCTTCCTGACCACCATCTTGCAGAACTTCAAACTGTCCTCAAAAACACAATTCACTGAGTCTGACATCAGCCCTAAAATGAATGGATTCACAAATTACCCAGTTCCGTATCAGCTCTCATTCATTCCCCGTTAGATAAGACAGAGAAATTAAAACCGTATTAGATTTCAATAATAAAATGTCTAATTTTCTATTTTACAGAATGATTTTGAGGTATGTTAAGGTAAACCAATCTAAGCAGTGACTGGTGGTGAAATTAAGCACTTTTTTTTTTTAGATGTATTATCATATAGCATTTATATCTTGTGCTGATCATTTGTAAATCTGTTCACCAGTTTTGTTTTTTAATAAACAAAGTTTGAACAGAAAGAGTCCAAAGATTATTTTTTTGCACAGAGAGAAGTTGAAAGCTTGTTTATACACAGACTCTGATTGGCTACAACCTTCGAAAATCCATAAATCACTGAATATTTAAAAACTGTGTTGCAAATCCAGGATGAATGCCTCCACAGTAAAACACTCCCAAATGTAAAAGAGGAAATGTCTGCTTAATTTAGCTTGGTTGTTTAAAAGTAATAGTGCTATATTTGTTTTCTTAATTAATTGATTTCCTTATAGAGAAATAACAGGGACTGTGCCACTTTAAATTATGTGTTTTTCTTAAAATATATTTTATGCTATTGGTGTGTGGTGGGTTTAAAATCCATCTGTAAGATATGTTTTTTTTTTTGTTTTTTTTTACTAAAATCAGATTAAACAAATTTTACAAAATAAATTAAATGAAATAACTTCTAGACTTACACCAATACCCCCTTACCATTAACTCTGTCATACTAACCAACAGTCCTGAGTTTGGAATGACAATCTGGAATTTTCATCCAGGATCAACCACACTCTGTATTCTTCAAGTGTCTGAATAGGTGATTCCACAATTTTAACACGCATGCACATGTCAGTAGCACCCCTTTACCTGGAAAAGATTGTGTGATGGTACACTGACATGCTGGAATGCACCTGTACAGTTTTTATTAATATACCAAAATGAAAAAGAGGGAGGGGAAAGGAGAGAGAAGGGATGAGGCAATATATAAAAAAAAAACCTACATGTGAATGTACAAAGGAGAAAAAAGAAGGATAGGAGGATCAAAATATGTTATTGAAATAACTTGGTGAAAAGAGTATAAACCTTTATATGGCATGGTCCTGAACAATATTAAAACATAACTTTTACTAAATCAAGGATGTAGTTCAATATGAGCAGTGTTGCCCCTGACATGCGTTTCACCTGAGCTGAAAGGCAACATGAGCGTCAGGTGCAAAACTGCTCATATTGAACTACATCCTTTCACATGTCGACCGGTACATGTCACCAATTATCTATCAAGTTGGCAAGCTGTGATCCTTGTATTACACACTGTACACCAGTAAGCGCACCTTAGGAATAAACTCCATTGATTGCAATTTCTTTCGGGAGGTGTGTGTAGACATAGCAGCTTAATAGGGATAGTACTTTTATTAAAGGGTGCCCTCGAAGGCACTATAGTGTCATACTTTGCGTAGGACTTTATGGAGTCATAATATTTCCTGGCTCTCCTCCCTGGATACTAATGTGAGAACACGGACACCTCTTATCCTTTTTGATACATTGTTGCAGGATAAACAGCAACTCTATCACTCTTACATTAATGCCAACTACTTTCCACCTGTTACTTAATTGTATCTGTTGTACTGAATGAGCATTTGATATATAGAGGCTATGTTACCTCTGCATGTTTTTATATTAGAGAAAAATCAAAGAATGTGTAATAAATTGGTGCCAAGAAAGTGCCGCTTAAACCCAAAGTGGGAATAAATCACCCAATTCCCCAAATCTAGAATAATACCACAGAAATACACTGGGTAGCGCACTCAACATGCAAACGAAAAGTGCAAGTGCAGAATAAATAAATTAATAGCTAATTCGGTTTTCTTTATAAATGGCTGTAAGAAATTAACTTTACATAGAGCAATATAGTAAATGAACAACTAATATCTTCTATACATATGCATAAAGTTAAATATTTACATTCCACTCACATTTTTTAGAGCCTATAAACAAACTGGCTCAAGTAAAAGTGTTTATTGAAATGGTGATGGTTTTCCAGTATTCACTCCAGCCAATAGCCTCTCTCCCATCATATGTTGTGAGGATATTTATGGGGTATAAATGTTAAAAATAATATTTTCACATAAATTATCAAAAATTAATATAATAATTTTTATTATATCAAAAATTGATATCTTGGCACTGTTCCCCAATTAATGATTTAAAGCTGAGAATTACCCACAATTCTAATTCTCTTAGATCCTAGAGTAAGTTTCACTAGAAGATTTAACTCCACACATATATTCCTTAGTTAATTATGATTTCTAATAATTGAAATCTGACCAAGATTTATCCAGATATATATTCCTGCTATTAGTAAAACAAATTAATTAAATTAAATTAAATTAAATAACACCAGCATAATTACCAGTTAGGTTGTAGATTTTCTATCAAATGTGTAGATGTGTCCCAGGAATTTCGAATTCAAGTATGACGAGAATTATGGAAAATAAAAAAGTTTTCAGAGTTCGGAAGTTGTGTTAGTTGGAAAATATAAAGAATTAGGTGTGCCTAAGTGAGTGTTTGAGAGTTTGGAAGTGGGAGCTTTGAGTCCAGTCCAAGAGCCAGAATATGTAAGTCCCCAAGAGTTTGAGAGTATCCGAGAGTCAGAATCTGTCTCTTCCCTTTGTCCTTACTTTTTAAATGGGAAAACTCTCTGCACATCACTAGTTGGTAGGACAAATAGGGAACTGTGGGTGTGTCTTCCCTACAGACTATCATCTAGATTTTGGTCAGTAGGTTGCGCAATTTCATCACCAGGGGGTCAGGGGGTCCATTTACCTTTTTGTATAATGGGTTAACTGAAATTTGTGATGCTTTTTACGTCATTTTTGTTATCTTTATGGCTACTATATATCAAAGAACCTGTCAATTTCAAAGCGTTTTCCCAGTGTCTGCAATTTCGGTGGTAATATCAGATTTGACACCTCCTAACCTTAATTTCACCCTTTCTCTTACAATGAAATTAGTAATGTTCTGTTAATTTTTTTAGAAAGTAAAATGAATTACTTAGTTTTATTTGGTGTCTGTCTGGTTTTCTTGTCTTGTTTACATAAGTCGCATTCCTTAGCTCAGACTTGAGTGACTAGATTTACAGAAAGAGAAATCTTGTGTCTGTCTTAGCCTTGTAATACAAAATGGAGTCACCTCTGTTCTGAGGGTGACTGGCTTAACACAAAATGTCTGCCGATATAAATATACTGGCAATGTAAATGGAAAGGCACAAGATTAGATATAAACATACACTTTATTGAAGAAGTTCGTTTCTTACAGCCATTTATAAAGAAAACATACCGAATTAGGTATTAATTTATTTATTTATTCTGCACTTGCACTTTTCATTTGCATGTTGAGTGCGCAACCTAGTGTATTTCTGTTTTTATATTACTTCTTTGTTTTGTTTTGTTTTTCTGTTTGTTGATTAGGCAGTCTATACTATTTCATTATGGTGCCAATTCTGGAATACCTTGACATAATTTAATAGACATCCTACATATTTTTGTCTACGTCTTGTTTTTTTTGATTGCCCTATTGAGTATTGTATGGATTGGTTTAAGATCACTTGATATTTTTTCCTCTTTTTTTGATTTAGTAAAAGTTAAGTTTTAATATTGTTCAGGACCGTGCGATATAAAGGTATATACTGTTTTCATCAATTTATTTCGAGAACATATTTTGATCCACCTATCCTTCTTTTTTCTCCTTTGTACAGTTTTTATGCTTTAAGATCTTGTCCAATGAAGATTCTGGAAATCGGATTCCAAATTGATGAAAAAAAAGACCAATATAATATAGGATTTATCAGATGGTATAGGAGATCTTTGTAATTTTAATGAGCAATGTTCAAATGCTTTAGTTTATTTGAACGCCTTAAAATCTGTTAATAACCTCTTCACTAACAATCACTTTTGATCTCAAAAAAGTATTAGCATAGTATGTAACAAGGAATGCATAGCTATCACATTAACATATACTAAACAAGAAGAATTGTGTACCAATTGCCTTTCAGACAAACGTAAACATTTAGAAGATGTAAATGTATGCCCTTTTCGTCTATTTGTTCATACTTTACAATTACATTAATTTATATTTAGATAACATATTCTGCAGCGCTCTGTAAAATATGGACATTTTGGGGAATAGTGAACAGCTTTAGAAAGTAAATAGTGTTCTTTATCTTGCAATATTTCATACATGGTGTGAAATAGTAGTATAAAAGTAAAAATATACTTTTCTCACATTAATTAAGTGTAAGAAAAATTGAAACAAATGGTCAACTAGCGTGCTTACAGATATTTGAAAAAACCCCTAAAGGCATTACAAGCAGAACAGCTGGCTGAAAATTGCAACAGAATGTCTGCATTTGAGGCAATACTCACATACAGTAAATACGGTTAAATCATATATTTTTTAAATGAAGGTATTTAAAACTACCAAAGACATCTTAATCAATTCTAATGTAATGTTATCTGTGGCACTGGAGAGTCCATTTTCTCCTCCATGACTGTAGAAATGATATAACCTACTGGGACATCCATTACTGTTTGGAAGGAGAGGTGAGCTGGTATTTTAAGCAAATTAAACAAGTGGTCAATGGCTACAGCAGAGAAATGTGTTGTTCTACAGGCTAGTTATCATTTCTGGATTATAAATGAGGGTCAATGAGGTTTTATAGACTAAATTTCAATTTGCATACAAAATGTTAAACACTGCTTGTACATGATTCTGAGTTAATGGGTTGTGTTCATTATTCTTTAAATTGCTTTTTAAATATAAATAATAATGACGATGAGTTGCCTGTAAAATTAAGTGACAATCAATATATTATTTCCTGTAATTCTATTATACTAGAAGCCAAGATGAATGTTTCGTAGAGACCTCGATTTGTGTTTGGTTGGCTAAAATCGCTGTTTGTGTTTTTCTAAAATATTAGAATTTTAAGTACAAGTACATTTAAAGTTACTCAACAGCAGTGCAAACACTAACTCAAATAACATTTTAAAAGTTTATTTAAGATATACATTCATCAAAATTATTATTTTGTAAGATATTGTGTTGTCAGCGCTTAGTGAATAATCCCCTTAGATATAATCAGGGGTAAATGTCTTAACAAATGTATCTATAATAATTAGAAACAGCAATAGCATACAGTGTTAAGAGTATCAATATAACTGATAGTAACAATAAGATTGTAACAAAAAATCTAAATTGTATCTCAGTCCAGTATAAAATATATAGCAAGGTCCAAAGTGACAGGAGGTCCACAGTGTTGTTTGGGAACACAATCTTTGACTTTGAATCTCTTAAAAAAGACAGAAAATATATATAGTGCAATACTGTATTTAATGTCTTAAAACATAGGAACCCTTACAGAAGAAAAATGTGGTGCTTATCTCTAAGGACCACAATAAAAGCTTATCTGCCTGCAGTCTTATCTCTCCTCTGCTTCAAGGATGCCGTCCAGTATGCAGCTGAAAGGAGTGTTCGCCTCGTGCACTGAGGCTGGCTGTGGATTCAGTAAAAGTTCTCCTCTTTGTAATTCTGCCTCCGGTTGGCATAAAAACTTGTCATGCATAGTGTTAACAGCAAAACAAGATAAAATGCAGGATGATGGATCACCTAATCAACGCGTTTCGCCCCTCTTGGTGGGCTTTTTCATCTTGAAAAAGCCCACCAAGAGGGGCGAAACGCGTTGAAACGGTTAGCATAAAAACTTGTCATGCAGAGTGTTAACAGCAAACAGGATAAAATGCAGGATGATGGATCACCTAATCAACGCGTTTCGCCCCTCTTGGTGGGCTTTTTCATCTTGAAAAAATGTATATACAAAATACATACTCATTCTAAGATGTAACAACAAGTGTATTTATATTGTTTCTGCAAAATTGTCTCTTAAATTGTTGTTAGCGTTGAAGCAGAATCCTAACATTATGAAGTTTACACAAGAATAGCACTTTATTATTACCAGCATCTACATAGCACCAACAATGAGTTATCTGAGAGGTTAAGAAGCCCCTACTCAAACAAGCTTACAAACTATGAGGATTTAGGCAAGTGGATATACATTGGTAGGTGTCTTCCCAAGGGAGACTTACTGTTGAGGTTGTCTTACAGACATTACCACTGCTCTACACAGCAGTCCTGTGCTTGAATGGATGTCATGGACATTGTATTTAACAATATCTACAAAGATCAATGCGAGTTCTCAATGGGCCACAAGTTTCTCGCTGTGACAGCATTCCATCAGTAAGATTATCTAAAATTAATCATATTCTCACAGGTAAGTTGTGGATGGAAGCACCAGTATTCAGTTGCATAATTATATTGAAAAACACACATATTTAAAAGTACATTCAACTTACAGTACATATAAAAAAAAAAATTAAATCATTTGCAAATTGACACGTTGCAATTAATGGCATTTCTGCCATTTGAGCACAGGAATGGGTGACCTATCTACAATAAGGGACTGTAGACAAGATTATCTGTGATATTCAATGGACGGTGTAACTGAAAGTGAAAGGCAGTTCTATAGCCTTTACAATATTTTGGCTCTACTGAATATTAACACTTTGATATTATGATAGGCTTTATAAATTATCATGTTTTTTTTTCTCCCGATTATCGGATCCATAGAGAATTATGCATTCTGTATAATAGTATTGATTCATTAGAAAGTGTTTTCTGTACAGAAAATAACCAAATTCTGACCGCATTGCCAATTTGTAGATTTAATAGAACCAATTCCAGTCTGAATTTGGCCAGTCTGTTTGGGGTCCTGATTATAATATTCAGGAGAGAAGATCTAGTGTCAACACCAATTGTTGGTGGATGGGGGTCCTAATTATAATATTCAAGGAGGGGACCTAGTTTTGCTCTTCATGGGTCCTAAATATGTAAATTCTTATTTTTAATCATATTATACTATTATTCAGGAATTATAGGGCTGTAGTCCCTTTCCTTGTAAATAAGCTGTTGGTCTCAGAGATTATTCCCTAATTATGGACTTTCTATCCTTTAAATAAAGATTTGAGAACTATTTTTGGCCTCAAAACAAGGCTGCTCTCTCCTACGGGCTTATATTACTCTATAAATAACTACATTGCTGACATTTAACATGGAACACAAGTAAACCAATGTAAATCTGTTTTTACAATCATTAACAAACTGCGTATCAGACGTTTAATGATATTAATGAATTTGGCTAGATCTGATGGAGTCATGGAATCTTGTTTCTTAGTATTTCTCCACTTCTTCTTGGCTTGCTGTATATTATTATGCTAACATATGTTTAAATGGTGTGTTTATTTTACATTATGGATTGTGTATTTTTAACGTGTCCCAAATGACATTTGGTAAGATATAGGAACATTTGCAAACCCTGCCATTCTTGGGGTGATATCAGACTCTGTAAACTGCGTCTGAGAGGTTAAGGTGAAGTTCTGCAATATGATAGTGAGGAAGAGGAAGAGTTCTGTTCGTGCCAAACCTTCACCCAGGCACATCCTCTTTCCTGCAAAAAGACAGGCATTGAGAAGGTTTATAAAGAAATTGTAGTCAAATACCTTTTAAATTGTCTAATTCCTAAATGTATTAACTTACCTTGTCCTTGCTCCAGAGACTACTGACTATAATATTATGCAAACACACAAGCATGCTTATCCCCTGTGCTAAAAGTCGTGTAGGACCCACCGATATTGTGGTACTGTGATGTAGTGGTTGGCTTAACATGGTATGACCATATGGTGGAACCAAATTCCTATAAAAATCCTGCTAGTCAGCTATGCTTTCAATTTTGCAATTCTAGCCTTACATTTTAAATTCTCTTTCAATTCACTCTTAATTCTTATTTTAGTGAATAACTCTGTAAGTTTCATGTGTTCCCACATGTCTTTTTTTGTGTTTTTTATCCAGATCCATTGGGTTCTCACTGCCCTGCTCCACACAAACCTCTCTGGAAAAAAAAATAAGACTTGATGATCAAGAGATAACCAGATAGAAAGAGTTTTACTTTCTGGTTTAGGTAGAGCTGGAGGAATGAGGTGGCATTCTGACGTAGTAAGTGAATTCTTGGATATAGAACAACGGATGCACTATTGAGGTGACAATAACTAGCAAACAATGAGAGGATTACGTGTATTTGTCAGACGGAATTCTCAAAGGCAAACCTGCTAAATGGGCTGACTGCTCGAGAAAAATGATCTGATAAACACACTTCAGATGCAATTTTTTTTGTCTATTTAATGGCTAAAATATTTCAAATAATAGCCTGTTGGCATCAATACGACCATTCTATTAATACAATGGAGGTTAATGCAAGTGGTGCCAGCAGTAAAATGGTCAAAAAAATAATCGACAGCTTTTTACTTAAAATCTTCAAGGCAATTTTTCAAGAATTATGTTATTGAAAAATTCCATTGAATTCAATATGCTCAATGCTAAGTATCTTATAAAATTGTTCAATAAAACTTTAATGGTGATAATATAATTGTTTTGATTAAATAAAAGGCTCACAGAGAGCTGATAAATTGCCGCTATTAACTATTGGCTGCAATGTAATTGAGACCCATGTGTGAGTGTGAAAGGGTGAGATGAGGTCTGATGTTAGAAGAAGACTTTTATTACTCTAATAGTTTAGTACCAGACTCATAGATTTGCAATTGTACCTGCAGAAAAAGGCATGAAGGCATCATTTCTCTTGAAGGACCCATCAGGATTCAAAAAGTGGTTGGAATTGAATTTTTGAGGGGTAGCAAAATAGCTGGCGTCTTCCAAGACAGAGCACAAGAGAGCACACACCCCAGTGCCCTAGAAGGTAAAAAGAACATTCTAACCATGGTGTGCACATTCTTTTATATTGAACATTCCAACTGTTATGTCTAGCACATTCCTATAGACAAACATTCTAACATCTAGTCAGCAAGTCTTTTCTTTATTAACGTGTTAGTAATTACTGGGCTACATATGAAGTCAGACCACACTAGTTGTGGTCCGTAGAGAGATTCTTTATGGAACTTTGTAACTATCCCACCTTAGGAATGGTGTATCCCCTGAACTCTGTGTCCTTTATTGCTGAATGAGGTGCATTCATTGGGATAACATCACTAAAGCGTTGGATTTCATGGATCACGGCATCTGTGTAAGGCATCTTACTCCGGTCCTCAATGGTTGGGCTGCGGTCCTGGCCAATAACACGGTCTATTTCCTCATGGAGCTTGGCTGAAATTAAGGCCAAAGAATGACATGGTTCAAAGCAGGAATTAGAAACATCGCACAGCAGACACATTGAAAATAAATCCAAAATATTTCCTTTCATTTAGGTGAACTGTAAAGTGTAATTCTGAATATAAAGAAATGCTTCATGAGGACAGAGAAATCAATATATCAACCTCCAATTTCAAAATACAAACATACCGACCTTAAAGAGAAATCTACGTTTTTTCCAAATAACTTCATATCTAAAGAGATGGTTGCATTTGAAAAAGCAGTGATGCAGGAAATAGACCAAATTAAACCAAGAGACAAAAAGCACATGAATCTTAACAAGGAAGAATGGTTAGCACTTAAAACATTTCAGAAAGATAAAAATAATGTCATTAAACCAGCAGATAAGGGTGGGGGCATTGTAGTGATGCGAACAGAGGATTATTTACAAGAACGACTCAGATTGGTAGAGGATTTAGAAACATACAAAAAGTTGCCAAATGATCCAACTTCCAAAATAAAAAAGAAATTTGATGACTTATTGTTAAAAGGTAAAGAAGTAGAAATACTAAACGATAGGGAGCATAAATATCTTAATGTCATAAAACCAAAAATTCCATTATTCTATCATCTCCCAAAGATCCATAAAAACCTTGAAAATCCCCCAGGCAGACCAATAGTCTCGGG